GAGAAAACCTCAGGTACCTAGGCTGAGGTGACATAAAGTCCCAGGAGCTGGTGAAGACTGGGACTTTGACAGGGATGGGGGCATCTGTCCCAGGGAACCTACCTTTTTGCCTTTCCCTGGTGAGGGGGCCTGCAAGCAGTTCCACGGTTTGGTTTCCCCTCAAAACCTACCAGGTTTGTCATGAACAAGTTTGCACTCATAAGTGTTTGACAACTTAAAAGAAATGGACCAACCGGTTCCTTAAAAACCACAAACTACCAAAACTCAAGCAAGATAGAATATCCAATCTGAAAAACCCTATAACCATCAAATAAACTGAATTCATAACTACAATGACCCTAAAAAAAGAAATAAAAAAAGAAAGAAATCGCTCGGCGCAGATTTTACAGGAGAAGTCTAGCAAACTCGCCAACAAGAATTAACATCCGTTTTACATAGTCTCTTCCATAAAATGGAAGAGAAGGGCACACTCTCTAATAAAGCCAGTATTACTTTTATTTCAAATCCAGATGTGAACGAGACAAAAATAAATTACAAAGAAAACTACAGACCACTATCTCACATTAATTAAGACACAAAAAATTCTCAGCAAAATATTAGCAATCAAACCCAGCAGTGTATGAAAAGAATTATATGCCATGACCAAGTGGTAATTAACACTTTTTTCAGATGGGCAAGGCTGGCTCAACATTTGAAAATCAGCCATTTATCTATCATATATATTGACAGAGAAAAAGCATTTGACAAACTCCAACACCCATTTATGATTTAAAAAAAAAAAAAAACTCGACAAACTAGGAACACAGGAGAAATAACTCAATTTGGTAAAGAACATCTATAAAAATCCCACAGCTAACATCAGACTTGATGATGAATTGCTTTACCTGTAAAATTGAGGACAGCAAAGATGTCTGCCCTCATTTTGAAAGTTCTAACCACTGCAATAAGGTAAGAAAAAAATTAAGGCTATAGATGGGAAATGAAGAAATAAAACTCTCTATTTGTGATATAATTGTCTACATAGAAAACCCCAAGGAATCTACAAAACAACCCTCCTAGCTCAGCAAGTTCCTGGAATATAAGATCAACATAAAATCTTAGACGAGGTCATGCACACTCATCCTCAAAATGGTTTCTCCCTGAGATAAATCCATGACCTTCCCAGGGTCGCTGAGGCCTTGCATAACGTGGTTCCAGCCTCATTTCCACCACTTTCCCCCTCTCTCTCCTCTGTGTTAGTTAATGATGGACTCTGAAAGCAAACACTGCAGGGGAAGGGGACGGAAATGATGGGAGAGGATCCTACTTTAGATAGGGTGACATTCAAGCAAAGACACAAATGAAGTGACGTAGCAGAGCATCCTAGAAAGAGGGAACTCCAGGTGCCAAGACCCAAGGCAGCAGCGTGCTCGGCGTGTTGGAGGAAACGCTGTCTGGCAAAGGCAAGTTGGGGAAGCACTGACTAGATGTTCTCCAGCATCCCTTCCAACACTGACCTTGGACCTGTGGCCTGCACAGGGGTGTTTTCTGGTTTGAGGCGTGGCTGTCTAAGGACCTGGCTGCTGGAGGGGTTCGGGGTTCGTGTGCCTCTGCTGATGAGCCTTGTGTTCAGGATGTCCTGGAAATGGGAACGAGAGGCAGCCAGGTCCCCTCAAACAGGCAGGTCTGTTTTCCTCTTGTCATCACTTATCAAATATTTGCTGAGTGTAGGGAACAAAGATGAATCAGATACAGCCCCCATCGGATCAGAGACCGCATGGCGGAGCAGGTGCCTGCAGTGGGGCTGGCACTCAGGTGGGTGGGTCCAGAGGGCCCTCAGGCAGGGCTCTGTTCCAACTGCGGAACCTGGAACTGGCTATTGGGACCTTGGAGCCCTTTATCTCCCACAACCCCGGCTGCATTGTGGAGGATGCAGAGGGACAAGTGGGCTGGCTACATAACTGGTTGGCCCCGTGCAAAATGAAAATGTAGGACCCTGTTCACAGGCAGGAGGAAAGTACTGTTAAAGGAACATGAAAAGCCTTTTCCTTGCCTCTGTGGCCGCTCTCTTAGTGTGTCATGGTGATTTTCATTTGCTATTTAATGCCCTTCCAAGTCAGGAAAATATTGAAACTTTAAATTATTAGTATGAGTTTTACCATTCTCTGTATATTGTACGCCAGTTTTAAATGCAAATGTCAGAGCATTTGACCCATATATGGGGTCATAGAATTATGCCGTTTGGATTTCGTGGCTTGTTTCCAGAGGGTCCTCAACTGGCCAGAGGAAGCTCCAGCCAGACTCAGGAAGGTCGGAAGGAGGAAGACAGGAAGTGCGGCCGCTCACAAGTGCCTAGGTACCCCCCGACTCCTCACGATGAAGGGCACACGTGCACATACCCTCGAGCCTAACAGTTCCCACACATGCGAGACCACCCCACTTCACCCTGGCCAGGCGTAGGACCTGGCGAGGTCCAGCCAGGTATCCCAAGGATCTGTAACCCCTGCCTCAGGATATGCTCAGTACCTGAGGCCGGGGTGAGCGAGAGGTTTCCTCCTGCCAAGACTCAGCCTCCAGCTGCCGCCTAGCAGACACGTTGGTGCTGCCCGTCCCGGGGGCAAGGAGTACCAGGGGACAGCTGCCACCGTGCTCTACCCCAAGACACCATGGGCACGTGTGCCGGCTGACCCTCCCTGTGCCCAGGCCCCTTCCAGGGAGAGAGGGCTGCAACCGTTGCAGGATAGGGGTGAAGAGGGGGGGCCCAGCATGTCCTGGGTGCCTGGGGAGCTGGTGGGAGTCAGGACCCGGTGTATGAGCTGATACTCCAGGACTTCGCTCTACTTATAAAACACAGACTCAAGGATAAAATTATTAAGACTTTGTTAGTCCACTTCTCTTTCCCTGCCGCCACGGAGTTGCGCGGAGGCGGAGGCTTGGGTGCGTTCAAGATTCGGCTCCACCCATAACCCACCGCCATGGCCGAGGAAGGCATTGCTGCTGGAGGTGTAATGGACGTTAATACTGCTTTGCAAGAGGTGCTGAAGACCGCCCTCATCCACGATGGCCTCGCGCGCGGAATTCGCGAAGCTGCCAAAGCCTTAGACAAGTACGTGTCTTGGTCTCAATAACTGTGGGTTGGAACTGGAACAAAACTGCAGCCGAGGGAAGAAAGCGTGGAGTTCACGGTGTTAGCACAAAAGTTCTGAATGGCATCCGTTCCACAGGAAACCTAGGAAAAGGCGCCAAGCCCACCTTTGTGTACTTGCATCCAACTGTGATGAGCCTATGTACGTCAAGTTGGTGGAGGCTCTTTGTGCTGAACACCAAATCAACCTAATTAAGGTTGACGACAACAAGAAACTAGGGGAATGGGTAGGCCTCTGTAAAATCGACAGAGAGGGGAAACCCCGGAAAGTGGTTGGTTGCAGTTGCGTGGTGGTTAAGGACTATGGCAAAGAGTCTCAGGCAAAGGATGTCATCGAGGAATACTTCAAATGCAAGAAATGAACAAATAAACTTGGCTTTTGTTAAAAAAAAAAAAAAAAAGACTTCGTTAGTCCACGCAGACCCAGGGAAAAGCCCTGAGACTGGAAATCTACCTTCGTAAGCGAAAGGCAGGGAAAGAACAAAGAAGGAGGCTGGCCACTCCAGTCTGGTAATTAACAGAGTTTATTAAGGGAAACTCATATATGAGGCATGTCTTAGGCGGCTGCGAGACTGAATGGATCCTAAAGAATTCTGGGGAGTAAAGCGGGGGAACAGTCACAGGTACTAGTTCATGGATGCTGCCAGGTACGGGGAATTGCTGCACATGTTTGGCCAGGTCAGGACAGCAACCTGTTCCAGGAACCAGCACGTAACAGGAGGCAAGGGACAGATGCTGATGTATGTCAGAGTGAACGTCAGTTATGACGAGACAGTCCCCAGGGGGGTTGCAGAAAGCAACTGCTGTTGTGGCCCGGGTCCCGCTTGCAGGGAGTGGTCACGTCTTGGAACAGCCTCTCGCCACAGACTTTCATGACGGCAGCGCAGAACATTCAGCCACAGGTGCCGGGCCCTTGTGAACCTGGGGCCCTGTGTGACTGTGCTGGTCACAGGCCCATGAAGCCAGCCTCGGGGAGAAGAGCTGAGGTCATTCTTCAGGTCACTTGGCATTTCTGAGCCTCAGTTTCCTTTATGCCAGACAAGGTGGGAAGGCTCACCTGTCATTTAACAAAGGAGAGACTATAAAGCAGCGGTTCTCAACCTGTGGGTCGCAACCCCTTTGGGGGTTGAATGACCCTTTCACAGGGGTCGCCTAAGACCATCGGAAAACACATATATAATTACATATTGTTTTTGTGATTAATCACTATGCTTTAATTATGTTTAGTTTGTAACAATGAAATTGGGGGTCACCACAACATGAAGAAGTGTATTAAAGGGTTGCGGCATTAGGAAGGTTGAGAACCACTGCAGTATAAGGTCACTTGGGGACGGAGCCTGGGAAACCAGCAGAACTCCAGGCCCCTGTGGGTACTCTCATGGCAGTTCTGCTGCTCTGTCTCTCCCATTCTCCTGCTGTCCACTGGCTTCCTCTGCTTCCTTAGGTTCCTTCCTGGTGTTTACTGAGCACCTACTGTGTGCCAGACATTGTGCAAAGCACTTTGCATACACGCAGTCTTCACAGCAGCCCTATGCTATGAGGATAACAATAGCACGTATGAATGCGTACTCTGTACTGGGCACCGAGCCAAGTGCTTTTCCCATGTTAACAGATGTAACCCTCCAACAACCCTATGAGACAGGTACTGCTAGTCCCTTTCTACAGGTGAGGAGACAGACCTAATGCGGTTAGATAACGGAGTGAACAAGTTGTAGATGGCACAGTTGGGTGTGAACTCAGGCCGTGGGGGCCCCAGGTGCAGCACACTTAGGCCCTGCATTATGCCACCTTGCTGCCTTCCTGGCCTGGGCAGCTGGCAGCGTCTCTAGGCTGCTTTCCTTCTCACCCTCCCTTCTCTTCCTCCCCCACATGGCAGAGCTCCGCCTGGAAGGGAACTTCCTGCACCGCCTCCCCAACGAGGTCAGTGCCCTGCAGCACCTCAAGGCCATCGACCTGTCTCGGAACCAGTTTCACGACTTTCCTGAGCAGCTCACCACCCTGCCGGCACTGGAGACCATCAATCTGGAGGAGAACGAGATTGTGGGTGAGTGGACACCCCCCTCCCCCCCGCATCAGCACCACCTTCCTCCAACTCCCTTTCCTGAGTGAAGCTCACAGGGCTCAAGGGGCACCAGGCATGGGGCTGTGGAGTCACATTTTCAGAGACCGGAGGGCAGCGCTGGGCTTTCTGGCCTGAGATGGCTGAGCACAGGGCACTGGACCCGCGAAGGGAACCATTCTGAGGCCTTGCCACCTGCCGGGGGCTGGGTTGGGCACTTGCTTTCACCTGAGAGGTAGAAGGCCTCAGCATTCCCCACGGAGAGGCCTGCATAGCTGGGCCACCCTTGGGCCACAAGCTGTCCCGCTGGCATCTCTGCCAGCCGAGGCTGCCTCTAAGACCCTTACACATTTTCTCCTCCCCGAGTCCCTGGCTCGCCCTTCCTGGTCTCCACAGTGCGCTCTTCACCATTAGTACTCGGGGGCCACTGGGAAACAGGATTGGAACGCCCTCTCTGCCTTCCCCCAGTCGCCAATGCTGCCTGTCCCTGTCTCTGTCCAGAGTGCTGGAGAGCAGCCCCCATGCTCTGCATCTCAGAGCTCAGCCTTGCTAGGACCTATTCAGGGTATAAGAGGCACTTCGGAACACAGACACGGGTCTGGACATGGACATGGATGTAGGCTTTGGGGAAGTGTTCCTTCGTTCACCAGCTGCCATTTTTTATTGAGCAGCTTGTTCTGTGCCAGGCACTGTGCTGGAGACAGATGGACAAAGTGTCCTCCCGTTCTCATGGGGCTGGTGGCATGGTCAGTCACACAGCTGATATTCAGTGAGCATTTAAATGTGCTCCTGTTTAAACCTCCCCATAACTTTATGAGGCAGATACTGTTCCTCTCCCCAGGCGAGGAAACTGAGGCACCGGGAAGGTCAGTAACTTGGCCCAGGTCATGGCACCTGGGCATGGCACAAGGTCTTGCCAACCCAAGCAGTCTTGCTTCAGAACCCCAGCTACTCAGGACAGTGCTTTGCATAAGGAGAGAAGGTGTTTGCACATAGCCGTAGGGAGATAGAAAGCCACAAGCCGCATAACTGGTTGGAAGGAAACTCTCTTGGGGTGGAGGGGACAGCGTATGGTGTGAGGCAGGACCTCCTAGGCCAGGTGGGCAACCAGCCTCGCTCCTGACAGCTCACCTCATGTGCCAAAGCAGGTGGGCAGCGTCCCGGATGGAAGTACTGGAAGATCGGAGGTGCTTGAGCTGGATGTACGTTCAAATCGTTCGGGGAGCTTTACAAAAACCCTGTGCCAGGACCACAGCCCCTGCCAATTCAGTCAGAATCTCTGATGATGGTTTTTAAAACTCCCTAGATCAGCGGTTCTCAACCTGTGGGTCTCGACCCCTTTGGCGGTCGAACGACCCTTTCACAGGGGTCGCCTAAGACCATCCTGCATATCAGATATTTACATTACGATTCATAACAGTAGCAACATTACAGTTATGTAGTAGCAATGAAAATAATTTTATGGTTGGGTCACAAACATGAGGAACTGTATTTAAAGGGCCTGAAGGTTGAGAACCACTGCCCTAGATGGTTCCAGTGTGCAGATGAGATGGAACCACCAAGTTGGATCAGAACCTCCCACCAACAATCCCATTCTATCCCTGAAGAAGCTGTAACCTCCCTTTTCCTCCTCCTCCCAATGACTGTCTGGTGTGTGTGTGTGTGTGTGTGTGTGTGTGTCTACATCCGGAGAGCTCACAGTTGGCCCAGAGCAGGTTTGAGTTCTGCCTCAGGCCGGCCTATAGTGTGTGGGTTCTCGACTTCATGTAGGAAAGATTTCACAACATGAGTCCAGGTGGGTTTGAGAGTGTCAGCGTCCTCCTGTTCCATCACCTTTCTTGGCCCCGCCCCCTAATCTGTCCCTCTCCCCAACAGATGTGCCCGTGGAGAAGCTAGCCGCCATGCCTGCCTTGCGCAGCATCAACCTCCGCTTCAACCCGCTGAACGCCGAGGTGCGCGTCATCGCCCCGCCACTCATCAAGTTTGACATGCTCATGTCTCCAGAGGGCACGCGGGCCCCCCCACCTTAGGCCTCCCTCCTCATGCCCACCCAGAAGGGACAGAAGCCACTTGGCCTGGCACCCTGAGGGGAGGGAGCCCCAAGGGCCCGTGGGAGGCCAAGCTTGGAGGGCTGGGGATGGGTGGGCCCAACAGCGCGTGGGAGGGGGTGCAGCGGTCCAGGATAGATAGCTTAGAGCTGTAGAGGGTCCTGGAATGCCCAGAGGAGGAGGCGAGGTGGGGGCTAGAGCCAGGACTCTGGGCATTCATAGCCTCTGTGCATACTTGGGCAGGCCCCCACCCTCTCTGAGACTTTCAATTTCGGGAAAGGGCTAGTGGCAGTGGGTCTCTGCCTCCTTGGGCTCCTTGGAGGCCTTTTAGGGGACACACGCCACCAAGTCTTCAATTCCTCGGTATCTTCTGAGCTCGCAGCTGAGCATTGCTGAGCATTTCCTGGGCCCCTGTGGGTTGAGGCCTTGCTTCTAGTGCTGAGAGCCAGTCGCTGCCCTGAGACGAACAGAAGACAACCTGCATCTATTCATTGCTTCCTGAGAACCAACCCTTCTCCGTGCCCCATCCTGAGCCCTGTGGATCCCTGGATGGGCAGGAGCCTGAACCGGGAGTGGTGGGAAAGCTGCGGAGAGAGTGCGGACGCTGCAGCAGGGCTGACGATGTTTACATAGGAGCTCCAGGGCCATCAGGCGGGGAAACTGGGGAGCAGATCAAGTTGGCGCCGTCCTTCCTCATGATTAAGAAATTGCTGATGTGACCAGCTGTGCCTGGCACCACCTTGAGCTACAGGAGAGTGGCCCAGAGAGAAAGAAAGCCATTTGCGCCTATGCCTCCCTCCGCACAGTCTCCCTCTGGCAGCAGCAGACTGGCTGCCTTGTCATTGGTTCACCTGGACGCAGGCGGCACTGTGGACCGTTGGATTGTAGCCGGCCAGCCCCCGGGTCACCACTCAAAGCCCTGATAACCTCGTCATTTCTAGGCTCTGAACCTGGAGCCTGGCCGGGCAGTAGGGTGACCTGCCATCCGTGTTTGCTCCGGACTTTCAGTGCTAACACGGGGACAGGACCGGCACAGGGACAACCGGTGGCTCCACCAGGTGAGGCCTGGGCTCTGGCTTCCTGTGACAATACCTGTGGTGTGGAGAACCCCTGACCTCTTGACCCTGCAGGCATCTACCTCCCACCTTCTCATCTGTGCAGCAAGCAGATCTGCCCACCTGGTCTGGACTTTTGTCAGAGTCTGTGGGAGATGCCTGAGTCCCCAGGACTTGGGGCAAACCAGGCCACCCAAATCCTACTTCCGTGCACCAGTGGCCACTCTGCCACACTCAGAGCACTGACCCTTTCTCAGAATGTTCCCATTCTATTCCCCGTCCCCTCCCCTTCCCCAGCCCTGAGTTGCCCTGCCCAGGCCTCCTGTCTCTTGGCAAGAAGCTGACAGTTTGGGAGGTTGTAGGCCTGTCACCAAACACTAGAGACTCAGCTGAGAACTCAGCATCCCAAGAGATGCCTGTTCACCCTGCTCATCTCTCAGGCCTGGTAGGTTCAGCTCTGGGAAAAGGGTTTCCAGGGCAAGGAGGCCAGATAAGATCTCCAGGGCTACGGAGTTCAGCCGAGGACAAGTGAGGGCTGCAGTCTAGACCAGCCCGGCCTAGCCCCACTCACCGTGTCCTGGAGTGGGGTTTCTCCTTGTTGAAGAAGGGGTGCATTTTCCTGATACGCAAAAAGGCATTGTCTGGCCAGAGCCTGCAACTCAGTGTGGTCTGCATGAGCACCTATGGGAGCTTGTTAGAAACACAGGACCCCAGGCCCAATCCCAGACCTCCGGGATCAGAACCCGCACTCCAGATCCCCAGGGATTCCTACAGGCACTTTACTGTTTAAGAAGCCAGGCCTGGGGTGGCCCTGGGGATGGCCTGGGAGTGAAAGGTGAAGTTTCTCAGCTTTCCCCCAACACCAAGTCTGTGCCCACCCCCCCTCCCTAAAGCAGCCCTTCACTCCCACCCCGGGCCTCTTAGATCCGTGGTCGGCAGACTGCGGTTCGCGAGCCACATGCGGCTCTTTGGCCCCTTGAGTGTGGCTCTTCCACAAAATACCACATGCGGGCGCACGTACAGTGCGATTGAAATTTCGTGGCCCATGCGCAGGAGTCGGTTTTCAGCCTGGGCGAGTCTATTTTGAAGAAGTACTGTTGATATTTGGCTCTGTTGACTAATGAGTTTGCCGACCACTGTCTTAGATCTTTCAGAGTCTGTGTGGCACTCCCGCGAAGGGAGGACCTGGAGTTCCCAGGAGATGAGGGTTGGATTTGCCCGGCCCTCTGGCCTCCCTTTCTGGTCCCCCCCCCCCCCGAAAGCCAAGCTGCTACTCCCCCAGGTCCTCATCTCAGGCCTTCCAGAGGGGCTGTTCTGGAAGCTGCGCCCTCCTCTGCGTGGAGAGTGTGCCCTGGCCCCTCTGGGAACGCTGGGCAGCCAGAAGCCCCAGATCAGAGCACAGTGTGAGCCCTTAGCTTCAGTCTGCAATAAAGAATGCATTGGTTTCACCTGCCTGTTGGTGTTTGATTCATTCTCACCACACAGGCCCCGCAGCCTGGGGGTCAAACCTGCCCCCCTGAGAAGAGGAGGGGCCCAGGGGCAGCCAGCAGGACTTGATGCATGCCCTAAAGCTGTGCTGCTGCAGAGCAGCTCATCGTCAGCCCTGGGGAGACCCAGACACCTGGGGAAGGATAAAGGAACCCTGTTGTCCCCCAATTTTCCCCTTACTGATGCCAGAAATTACACCCTTAGCAATTCACTCCTCGGGTCCATGTTCTCAAAGAGGGGTCTGGACCAGCAGCTCTGACACCAGCGAGCTGGTAAGACATGCCAAGTCCCAGCCCAGACCCCCAGAGCAGACAGGCGGGCCCAGCGCTCCAGGTGTCCTGGTGCAAGTTGGAAAGCGCTCCTGGGTTCAAGGTTCAAGTCAGGTTTCTTTCTAAATCTGAAAGGCCAACCTGAGTTTGCCTGGAGTTTTAGGCCAGACACTCCATTATTTTCACTTAACAAACACGTAGCGTAGGGTACCTGGAGTGTCTGAGCACGTTAGCAAGAATAACTCACTTAACCCCTGATACAACCCTACCAGCTCTGTGAGTGGACGCGTCCCTTCCCCTCTCTGGCCCCATTTCCTGTCTGTGAAGTGAAGGGGCTGCACAGGGACAACCTGGCCAAGGTCGGCCATTAGTCGGCTGCCCCCAGAGAGCTGCCCACTTTCCTCAAGAGGCTTCAACACCTTCCCAAAGACATGTTCTTCCTAATACTGTGGAGGCGGACCTGAACTCCACCCTGAGCTAGAGGCCCTCACCACCCCATCTCCCACCCCTCCGCCCCCCAAGAGCTGCAGCTCAGCGTGCCCCAGCCCCAGAGAAGGAAACACCTTGGGTTCTCTAAAGCAAGGGTGGGGCACCTTCTTTCTGTCCTGGGCCATGTGGATGTTTATAACATCATTCTCGGGCCACACAGAATTACCAACTTAAAAATCAGCCTGCTGTGTTTGGTCAAACATTTAATTAACTCACCCCTCATGCCTTGGCAGGGCCAGACCAAATGATTTCGAGGGCCAGACGTTCCCCACCCCTGCTCTAGAGGAAAAGGTTCTGGTCCAAACCTCTCCCATTTCACAGATGGTTGGAGTGACCTGCCTGAGGACATGTGGGTAGCTCCGGGCAGAGCCCACACAAACGCCCAGGCTTCCTGGCTCCTGCCTCGGGTGCCTTCTGGGGCCTTCTGTGAGTCTCGAGTCTCCGTGATTCTCGGTGATTGGAGCTTATCTGCTTAGTGCTCTTGGCCTCTCCTTGACCTGCTGCCCTGCTTGTTCTGCGGGTGTGTGTCAGCCATTAGAACCCTCCCTGCCGTTTAGAAGTGCAGATAACAGCACTGATCGCCTGCCTTGGGGAGAGCTCGCTAATGACCATTTCGAAGCACTTTGCGGGCAGTGTTCCGCAGAGGCTGGCTGGGGAAGGGAGGGGCCCCTCCTCCTCCCAGGCAGGGACTCTACCCTGGTCTAGACCTCAGCCTCTCTGCAGCCACCCTTCCACCTCCCTCCACTGGAGACTGGCCTCACAAACAAAATATGCAGAAGAATCTGGAAGATTGGTAGGATGTGTAAAAAGTGTTAGCAACGCACCAAGCCCCAGTGACTAGAAGCTGGGGAAACTGGCAAAGACAGAGTCTCCATGAGGAGACCAAGAAGGAATCTGCTCTGGGCTGGGGGTGTGTGGTGTAACCTTAACTCACAAAGGAAGGCAGGGGCAGGGCAGAGCACAGGCCATGTTACTTCACATGGTAGCATAAAGGGCTTAAGGAGGAAATTGAAACCCGAAATAAGTGATAAGAAGGCACCAAGCCACAAACAATTGCAGCCCAGATAAATGGCATCTCAGGGACCTGGAGGCGTTTGCAGATATAATCATGGCCTTAAAGGAAATGACAGAGAATGAAGTGCCAGAAAACTGAAGATGGAAAATGTCCTGATTTCCACAAAGGATGGGAAGGTAGCTTTTTAAAAAACTCTGAGCGCCTAAGATTAATGTTGACCTCTATTAAAGTTCCAGGATAAATGATCAAACGTGTAGGAGACAATAAGCAATCACGCAGCTCAGCATTTCCTCAGAGGACACCCCGTGCACTTGCAAAGGTGTGCACGAGAACATTTCATCACAGTGCGACGCTGGAAACCATCCAGATGTCCACAAATCAAGAAATCAAAGGTCAGACACACCTCCAACCGCATACTATGCAGACACTAAGAAGTGTGTCTAGCATTTTACTTACTGGTATGAAAATATGTTCACTGCCTACTGTGAGTAATCAAAAAGAGCAGGTTTTAGAACACGTGTCGTATGATCCCCTTTAGGCAAAAGTACATGGCTTATTATTGTTTATGTATGTAAAATACATGCAGAGAGAGAGAGAGAGAGAGAGAGAGAGAGAGAGTCCCTGACAGCTGTGTTTGGATTCTCCTGCTTAGACCAAGACTTGGGTACAAGGAGTTGATGGGGGAGATCATGCGTGGAAGCAGAAGTCAGGAGAGTGAGATGGGAGAGGGAGAGAGGAACGCAACGGGGCATTATTGAGCTGGGTTAGCTGTGGGCAGCTAGGGGTTCTTCCCCTCTGGGGACCCTCCGAGAAAAACGCAAAGCCGAGCTTTGCCCCAGAAGGTGGGGAGCTGACTGCTGTCTGCCCGTCGCCATTGGTTGAAGGTGATTCCTGTTCATGGCTTCAAAGAAAGCAAAGCCAAGAGAGTCCTGGGTGCCGTGTGACGGCAGGCTGCAGGGACAGGGACTGTCCACCCCCTAGAACCTTTGGGCTGAGAAGCATCACAAATGCATTGGCCACGGGGACTGTTTTAGAATAAGCACATCATTTTATAATAAACACATCTTTTTTTATAAAAATAAAATTTCTCAAAAAGAAAGAAAATAATGTAGTGCTCAATGGAAGGTAGTAGGGGTGCTCACTAACAACAAATCATGCCTCACCTACCACATTTCCTCTTCCGGACTGGGTTTCTGAGAGGTGGGAAGATGACTTAGGAAATTTCAGCAGGACACTACAGAGACCTTCCACGAACTGCAGGGGAGACAGAGAAAGGGGCCTGGAGGACTGACAACAGGCTTTCATTAAGAGCTTTAATAGCCCAGCTGGGCGTGGCTCAGTGGTTGAGCGTCGTTTCTCTCTCATCATTGATGTTTCTATCTCTCCCTCTCCCTCTCTGAAATCAATTATATATATATTAAAAAGGCTTGAATGAAGCATAGAGGTCTCTCAAGCTCTGATCTTGATATGACATTAAATAACTTCAAAGGAAAATAAAAGTCATGCTTATCAAATCTGTGCAAAAGCCATTACACCCACATGGCAACAGATTGAAGATGTGGGGTTATCTCAACATGCTGGAATGCTGGATCAGAACCAAGAAAATGAAATGAAAGTGTAAGTGAAATGCGAAATCCTGGATTTAGATCCAAAAAATGAGTTTCCTACATTTCTAATGGGGGAGATCTGGCTTGTGTTCTTGAGGAAAATCATGGGGCAAATTAAAATGGGCTGACAGTGAGATGGGCCTGGAACCCCTCTCATTAAAGAGCACCTGGGGTGTCCTGGTGGGAAGAAGGGGGGCCGAGGGGGGTGAACTCAGGAATGGGGCTCATTCTTGCTCTGGGTGGTTCCAGGGAGCAGAACTGGGACAGGTGGGGGCAGGTTACAGGAAGACAATCCAACTGGACATCAGGAAGAACTTTGTCATTCCGCCTAGAAGCTGTCTCCCCCCCAGTTCTCAGTATCCAGCCTGAGCAAGGGGGGCTGACCCGGGAGCAGAAGGGGGGATGCTTGGATGTCTCTGAGGGCCCAGGAGCCTCCCCCTGATACCTGTGGTCAGACACTGCCACCTGCGGGGCTTCCTGCAGGGCTGCTGGGGCCAGCCAGGCAGTAGCCTCCGTCAGGCCTCCCCCCGGGCCTTGGCGGTGGTGTTGTGCTGCCTCCCCCCGGGCCTTGGCGGTGGTGTTGTGCTGTGTGATAAGTAGCAGAGGACAGTAGTCAGATCCACTGCCCACCCCGTCCCAGCCCGACCCCAGACCAGCGGCCTCCACAGCTGCCTGGGCCTCAGAGCTCTGTGGCTGAGGGAGGCTCAGCTGGGAGGATGGACACTGCACTGGCTGGGGTGGGTGTGCTGTGGGAAAGGGGGGGAAGGCGGCCACTGGAAGAGGAGGGGAGGGGAGTAAGCCAGCTGGTCTCCCTCCAGCCCAGGACACAGGAGCATCTTAGAAGTTCCGGTGGGTTCTGCTTTCTATGCCCCTGGAATGCTTCCAGACACACGGGGCCCTGTTCTTTTTCGTAAAGCATTTCATCCCCCTGGAGCTGCCCATCAGTCTGGGAGGTGGGCAGGAGGTAGATCACCCCACCTCATTTAACAGATGGTAACACAGCTTAGGGTACAGTGTGCAGGTCTGGGGACAAAGGACGGACACTTGGGCGGCAGCCTCCATAAAACCCAGCTCTCCAGCTTTGTCCAGAAGACGTCTACACCTTTCTGTCCGGCTGGGAGTGGGGGATGGAAGGGGAGGCAAAGGTCTGGTTCTCACTGGGGTCATAACATGACCGATGCAGTCTGTCCTGCTGCCCGCTGTGAGTTGAGGCAACAATTGCAGTATTTCTGCTCCAATTGTCGTGTGGCCCATTCTATTGTGAAGGTCCCAGGTTATTAGGGCCAGGAAAGGCCTGGGTGAGCAGCTGCTAAACCCTGATTTTACAAATGAGGAAACCGAGGCACAGAGAGTGGAACTGATAACATCGCTAACTTTTACCAGTTCTACTTAAGATGCAAATACAAAAGAGTGAAATGCAGTCTTTCCTCAAACACCTTTTGTTCCTCTCGCTAATAACTGAAATTGCACCATTAGAGCTTTGCCTTTCCCGTGTGTGTGTGTGTGTGTGTGTGTGTGTGTGTGTTAATCCTCACCTAAGGATATTCCCCTCCCACTCACCCCCCATTTTTAGAGAGGGTGGAAGGAAGGGGGGGAGGGAGGGAGAGAGACCCACACATCAATTGGTTGCCTCCTGTAACCCAGGGATGTGCCCTTGGCTGGGAATTGAACCCACCAGAAACTGGGTCTGGCTAACTGGTCAACAATAGGAATGTGTTGGAAAGAGCATGGGTAGGTCACCCAGTGGAAAGAAAAGCTGTGCTACCAGGACCCTGAGTCAAATCGGAAGCAAAAAAGGTGAGATTGGCCATCCTTTGGGTAGCGGTGGGTGCAGGCCCCTGATTGACAGTACCTGGAAAGTTGCATGTAAGGAGGAGGGCTGGCTCCCAAGGGAAACGTCACAATGCTAGAAGAAGGGGTCATGGGTGCAAGGTGGGCCACAACCCAAATAAATTCCCACTGCTCCCCCGAAAGTGTGTGAACAACATCGAGTGCATTCTCTGAGAGAGGATCTGAAGCGTTTGAAGACGCACTTCCATGTAGAAAGAGACCGTGCCTTAGTATATCAGGACAAAGCCCCGGAAAGCATCTGTGAAATGAATTCAAATGCGTGAGGGTCTCCTTGGTGACCACCAAAGTGTTAAGCATCACCAAACCCATGTGTAAGTTCCTGGAGGCGAGGGACTGTGTAATTGAGTGGTTCTCAAATCTTGCTACATTTGGAAGTCACTAAGAGAGACCCCACCCCAAGAGATTCTGATTCAGTATGTGAGTATGTGTGGGTGGCAGTTTCCTATATTATTAAAAACCATGTGACTTTGATGTGTCAGAGTTTAAAGCCAGCGATGTTGTCAGCTTTTAAATCATATTTATCAGAACTTCCTTCTGATATGAAAGGTCAAAATGGAAGTTAGTGAAAAGGAAAAGGAAAGTCACTTGAAACATCTCCTGTGGGCAAACTTTTATATTGTCATTTACTAGTATGTACACACATGCTCGCACGCGTGCGCGCGCACACACACACACACACACACACACACACTTTTTAAAAAATATATATTTTATTGATTTTTTACAGAGAGGAAGGGAGAGGGATAGAGAGTTAGAAACATCGATCAGAGAGAAACATGGATCAGCCGCCTCCCGCACATCCCCCACTGGGGATGTGCCCGCAACCGAGGTACATGCCCTTGACCCGAATCGAACCCGGGACCCTTGAGTCCGCAGGCCGACGCTCTATCCACTGAGCCAAACCAGTCAGGGCAACACACACACACTTTTATACAGAATGTAGATTTATAAGGCATGCACGTACTGTTTTGTAACCATTACTACCCTGGTTGGTATTTCCCCCACACCATTAGACCTTCTGCCCCTTAGGAAAATCCCTAAGTGGAGTGTTGGCTGGGAGAGCAAGTCCCTTGTCAGGGCGCTGGCTGGTTGTGTCACAGTTTCAAAGGCTGAGCTGCCTTGCGCCCTCCTGACCCCCGCAGTGCACAGCCACACTTGGCCCTTGCTGAGCACTTTTCATCTCTGACAATCTGATTGATGGAAAGTTTGCTCTTTTAAAATTGCATTTTTGAAATTTCGTGAACTTGAACTTGTTGTTTCGTGTGCCCTTCAGCCATTTGTACTGTGTTCTGCTTTGTGCTCTCAGCTGTGTTCTTTAGCAGGTCCCTGTGCCCCTGGCCCAGCCTGTGGTCACCCAGGAGGATCTCAGCAAGTGGGTGTTGAATGGGGAACCCAGGTCTCCAGTGTGGTGCTGAGCTCCCGCGTGGTACCAGGACAGGCAGGCAGGTGGCGATAACGATGAAGTTATTAGTGTGAAGGCAGTGAGCTCCGGGAGATACCTAGACTGACTGTGCTGGGGCATTCATTTTGGTGGTATTTCCTCTCTCACACAGGAGGCATTGCAGGAAGGCCCAGACCAAGATATTATCTTCACAACCATTGTGTAGTTTAGTAGTCAGAACTGCTGCTCATGGCCTAACCCTAATAAGGGTCATGCACCCAGCGTTCTCCAAGTTTTCGCACGTTATCTCATTGGCTCCTCACCACAACCCCTTTTCAGTACGTGTGAACGTTTCTTCATTTTATCAGTGAGGACTCCGGTTCCCAGAGAGGTGACCTGAGCCGCCCGAGGTCACAGCCAGGAAGTGTGTTTCCATTTTAAAGAGGGGAACTCGGAGTTCCCACAGAGGTGAGGTGGTCTTAGTCTGCTCAGGCTGCTAGAGGAGAACAGCACAGACTGGGTGGCTTATGAATAACAGAAACTCACTGCTCAC